TAAAAAAAAAGTTAATATAATAAGTATATTCAAATAGTTTAATTAATCGTTCGGGTATCCGTGATCACCCTCTGTACATTCAATCGTAACAATATAATAAAAACTTGGTACGACATCTCCTTAATACAAATTAGCTAAATATAGCTAAACCAGTTGTTAGGATACAAGGCTGTGCACAAAATTTTATTATGTTCCTTCATTAAGTAAAAAATGTTCCCTAGTTAAATCTACATCTGTTTATGATAAAAAATAAATTTTTTTTTTGGATGTCGATTTGGTCCCTTTTCCTAGCACTCACCCTATGTCCGTTGGACTAATTATCAAAGGCCTGGGACCATGAGTCAATTTTAAAATTTTAATGTTACGGGAACCGATGCTAATTTGCGTGACCTAATGGATACTTTGATGATAAAAAGATTCCAAAGATATCTACTATTAAATCATGAGATCAGATTCCTCAGAAAATCAACATAAACAGAAATTACAAACCAACCTGTCTAAATATTCTTCGACGGAAAGTTCTATTATGAATGCACAATAAAATAGTAGCAATAGTATTAAATAGCACTTGATGTTTTTCTACATTTATTTGAAATGTTATAATAAATAGATAAATAAGTTTGATTTCGTCACAATAACTTATAAGAATTGGTTTTTGGGTAAAATATGGGAGGTAAGCTATTAAAATCACGTTACGGGTCATATGATTTTACTGTATTCGTTACTCGCAAAAAAGTTATTTTATTTTGTTTGAATCCTACGTTGCATTTGTGAATGGCGTTTTCTCTCATAGATAAAGTTTTCGTTGATTATCCATATAAAGTTATCATTATTTAAATTTTTTTGGTAAATTTATTATACACAATAATCAGGATCTGCGATGATTTTCCAATCATGGAATATCTGGATCGTCAATTAATAAACAAATAAACCCCTTAGGTTCCGGTTCAAATTTTAAAATTTACTTTTAAATAATGATAATGCACTTTTTTTTTAAAACATACATCCATGTCGATCATTTTATTATGTCATAATGCTGAATATAGTATTATTCGGAATGTAAATATATTTGGACATATTGGAAAAAATGCAGTTCTAAAGTATTTATACTCTAAAATTTTGACTTTCTTTTTAAATTAAAAGATTAACTCGATTAATAATAAATTTATAAATAACGGATAGTCCTTAAAAAGCTTATTTTCTCAATGAATTTATTACCTTCATCAAAAAAAATGAATTTCTACAATGCTTATCAATCCCTAACTAAACTTATGACAAATAAATACATGTTAATTCCTGAATTTTTTGTTTTATTATGTTTGAATATATTAATTATTTTAGTAATTGGAGTTGAAAAACTTGAGTTAAAATTTCATATAGGAAGTAAATGGTTAGTAGCTACCCCAATGATTTTAACTTATTTAATAGTGCATTTAATGATGTCGATAGCTATTAGAATAGAATATGTTGGGCCTATACACACATACATTGGTTTAGTATGTTTATGCATTGGTATACTCGAGTAAGGTACTGGATTTGCAATAAACACAACTATAGTTCCAGGTTCAAAATCTATCAAAGGTGGAGAGTTTAGAGCTGATCCATTAATACCATGTAAGGTTGAGACAGGATGTCCACAGCTATTCCAATCAAGATTTAGGTTTCAATGGTTACAGGGAGCTGCTGATGTAATGGTCAATGGAATTTCCAAGCAATTATCAGTAAATTGGGGGATGTTGTTGATGGTGCGAGAGTGGTGATGGTAGCAACAACAGATAACGACACAGGTGTAAATTATAAGTTGGTAGAATCCAAGAAAGAAATTATTCCAGCTTTTAGTTTAACTACTTTATGTAACCAAAATACTCAATTTCCAGATTCGTCAAGTTTTCACAATATAAGCATATCAACGCCAACTCCATTAATACAAGCTATACAAGCGGATTCTGGGTTAGAAGGTCGGTGGATGGCGGAAGTTATTAATCTTGAACAGGATAACCTTATGGAAACAACGCGAATTACTGTCAATTTAGTACAAATATCAGTTGCTAACTCATCATGTGAAGGGAATATTGATATAGTTGGAAAACTCCAGTTATGTCATCCGACTAAAGGTATAAATGTCGTTTGCTTGATGAACACGCATGTGGAATATGTAAATTATATCACAGCTGGATGTCATACTTGTGAAACAAGGGGAATTACTAATTTGAATAGAGTGGAATATTCAAGTCCAAAACCTGTTTATGGTAATTTTATGCACACAGCTCTTGCATCATATGGTAGTCATATTTTGATACCTCATTGTTCATCAGATAATTCAGTTGGAGGGTGTTTGACTCAAAACGATAAAAGCGTGGATCAGGTACGAAATCAATTTGTTCAATTGCTTCGGGGAATTACTGCCTCTGGAGTTATGGCAAGACGAATTTTGTTAGCAGGTGAAGGTATAGATATGCCAGTCCAAAATTTGGTTAAAGGAGTAATTGGGGAGAAATTAGAATTTGGAATGGGATATTGGCTTACTATAATTGTAGTGAGTGGTCTATTGATTATATTAGGTTGTTATGAATTAAAGAAAGAGAGAGAGAGGAGAGTGAGAGCGAGGAGAGAGAGAGTGGAGAGTGAGAATGAGAATAAGAATGAGAGAGTAAATGCGAATGAGAATAATATACTTGAAACTCCTCATCATCAAATAGCTCAGAATCCAGATGCAGACAAGACATCCAAAGGATAAATTCTAAAGAAGGTTAAAAGATGCATCTCATATTTTCTACCTGCATAAAATGTTTAGCATTTAACTTTTCGTAAATTTATTACCACATTTTGATATGAATGAGGTATTTATATTATTTTCATTGTTTTTATTTTTTAGTTTACCTTACAAATAACAAAGTTGTATATAAAATATGTATATTTTTAAATAAAGAATAAATATTATATAATTATGATATTCTGCGGTTTAATATAATTATTCGTATAAAATAAAAGATTAGATGGCTACGGCTTTGAAGCGATCGAACCGAAATGCAAAAAAAAAAAAGACCGCAGTGGCGATCCTAAAAAAAAAAAATTTAAAAAAAAATTTTACCTATACACACTGACCCGAAGGAAATTACCTAACAAAAAAAAATGAAATGAGAAAAGAAAAAATTTATTTATGGGTCCAATCCGAAGAGGAATCTAAAAAAAGAAAAGTGCGCAAGATTTTTTTTGGAAAATCGTTTAATCGCTGCGATTCCTAAAAAATCCACACAATATCAGATATATATCGAATGGTTTCATTTTACAAGTGACAGAAAAATTCTTTGGTTATTATACTAAATTTTCTAGTGAAAGAATATATAAGAAAGTCTAATCGTATTATAACTTTGTTTCATGACCTGACCTTCAAAGGAAATCTTAAATCGCACAGGAAATTGAGCTAGAAAATCGGCAACCAGTTATGCAACAAAAGCACTTTGATCCAGATAACTTGGTATAATGACCTCCTAATCGATTTCAAGGACCACTAATTCAACATTATCATTGACAATTTCTTCACAGAAAATAAAACTGGAAACGGTCGGTCAACGGTCGGTCAAAAGCCTTTGACCGACCGACTGGTTAACTGACCCATTTTAACTGATAGTAAAATAATTGAGCAGTTTTGGCTTACAGCTATTTGCAAAAATAACAGACCACCCAATTCATTTTTGCTCCAAAGTGTCATACGCATTCATACGCAGTCATACGCATAAGATTATTACTGATCGGCAATAATTTTGGCCAACTTATATTTGCAGCCCGAATTATAATTATTGATCGGCCGTAATTTGGACCAATTTATTCTTTCGTTCCAAATTGGAAATTTTATACTGTATATTTGTATTACCTTATCAATAATAAACAATTTTACAAATATAAATTTTCGTTTTCGTTACAGTATGACAAAATTATCTTCACATGTTCGCTGGCAAATAATTGAAAAGTCATTAGCAGGTTTGTCAGAACGTCAAATTGCTAAACATTTAGGAGTTAGCAAATCAACTATCACCGTACTTGTCACCATTTTAAAAAGTATGGATGTGTAGAAAACTTTTCATTGTTACGTGGAAGACCAAGAATTTTTGGGTGCAATGATATGAAATATCTTGAAACACTACTTAAAGAAAAAGTAAATTGGTATATTTGGGAACTCCAATCAGAAATGGAACTTTGGTTAGGACAAATATTGACCTTAGTGTAATATGGAGAACAGTATATCGCCAAGCAAACAAGTATTATATATTTATAATATTCATAATTATATCATTATTTTTAATTTTTTATTATTTTGACACATGTTCTAAAGTTACGCAAAAGATCTTTTTATATGTGTATACAATTTTTTGATACAACACACATTTATGAAACGAAACCTAAGCAGTACATGTACATTGATAAAACTAAAATTTTAAAATTTGTTAAATCGGTATAGCTTAATGTAATTATATTTGGAAAGGATATTTCATTTAATATTAATCGAAAATTGTAGTAAATAGTTTCTTTCAACTGCCTAAAGATGCATGTGATTATAATATTATTATCAAAGTTGAAGTGTACTACTCGAATACAAAAAAATTTCATCCACATTCTAATACCGCCCTCCATATTTTAATCTACACTTTCACAGAATTGGTTATAAAGATTAATTTACACGGCCACATTGATAATTATACTTTGGCCGTAGAGTAATTTGCAACAGCGAAAGTTTAATTAACTGAACCGGATAATTTCACGGGTAATCGCCGATAACTCCACAGTTAGTATGAGCAATGCGTTGATTGGTGGATTTTGCCACTTCGTAACCCGTGAAGATACTACATGTATCAATATCATTAATAAACTAAATATATATCCCATTATTTGAAAATATGATTGGCACGCTTATCCTGAACAAACAATAATCCTTAATATTGTTGTTGAATTACTTCTTGATGATTAAAATTTGCAAGAGCATTTGGTTGCAAAAAATACTAGATGATAAAGCAAATTTTGATGAAGTATTTAAACTCGGAATTCAACTGTAAAAGGCTCCAAGATTATTGTTTAATAATAATTGTGATAATACTAAACCTTTTTTAATTCTAGATAAAAAGTAGTATACTAGGAAACTTAAATAGGAGGTTTGTAAATTGACGAAAAATAAAGACGTGAATAATTTGATTAATCGGGTTATAAAGGACTTTTCGTGCATTATAAATACATTGAACCAATTTATTACACATATTTTGTTCTTCATTCAAGAAGATTTGGTCTTTTAGGAAGATATTACCTCAACGATATTATGTTCGCAATATTATAATAAATATTTGTTTATAGTATTACTAGGAAACGGGGACCGTTGGAACGTCCGAAGCGTTAATTGCAATGTAAACGCAGCACAAATAAAAGCGTATCACAGAAAACAATAAGTAACACAAAATTTCAAAAGTAGTTAAATAACCAACAGCAATAGATAATCTGATCTCTTTTTTTTTTTACAAACACAATTACAAAACGATTTCAAAAGCAAACTTTAAACGAAAAAAAAAGAGTAATATTAAAAAGCTTGTCACAATTAAAATAGTGTATTTTATTATTCCAATACAATAATCAACGTTGCAATAAAATAAAGCTTGGCACAATAAAAATAAAAAGAAATCAATCTTTAAGACACGATAACACGCGTATAGCATAGACAAATAGGAAATAAACAAAAAATCAATCAGTTAAAACGTAAATGCGACGTGTGACACAAAAAAAACAAAAAACAATTGGACGATCAAGCGGCGTGACAGACACACATTGCATCACCCACACTCGTCTTTTAATGTCCTTCAGCTACGCTTCGGACAAATAATTGATTATATTGCTTACAATTATTTAATTAATTTATTTATTTATTATATTAATTAAATAAATTAAATATGTAAGGTTTCATGTTTCGAATGTTCAATTTAAGAGAAAAGTTCCTTTTGATTAAATCATTGATAAATGCTGTGCATAATAAGTAATTAGCTTCTAAAATTTGTGGTTGTAATCTTAAGTATGCCTTTAGTTAGTCCTTATCAACAGATACACCCTACTTTGGTTTTTGTAACTTTCAATCATTTATGACTTTATCCATTATATTGAAATTCATAGGCAATAAAAAATCTCCCACATCAAACTAGCAGCGATAAATATTGATAAACCTAAAGCGATTACTTCTTTTCAAAATATATGTTACATTATATTGAATTTATAGAACTCTATCATTACTTTTTAACAACACTAAAGACTTCAATTTTTTCAATAATTAAACTAACATTATCCCAAACATTATTATAATTTCCAACGTTACGAAGATAAATTTTTTGTTCTTTCATAGATAAATTATTACCAAAGTTAAAAAATTCCTTATTGCAATGCTCATAAACTGATCTTTGCGTATTAAACACTCTACCCATTCGCATATTATGTGTAACTTGATCATTTTCAAAAGAAAAGATAAAACTGTCCGAAGAAAGTAACCATTGACCATCTCTTAATGCATATCCAACCAGATTATACCCTCCATAGATCTTTTTTGATGGAAGCTTTATCAATACAACAAATGGTCCTTGCCGATTACATCTAATGTGAAATGTCCTACAATCAAGTGCACTCAGACCGCTTGAATAAATCATATTAAACCTATATTTATTATTAAATGAATAAACATTCGAATCTAGTTTCTCAATCCAATTAGCAATAATAGTCGCAAACTTTGGCTTAATTATTGTTGATGCTAGTTTTCCCACGCGAGACGGCAAGATCGCCGCTTTCTTTAAGATCTCTTTACAATAAAATTCCACAATCTTTTCATATTTTTGACTTGAAATGATAGCCTTATAAGGATGTACTTTATCAAAAAAATCGGCGGGAGAAATTTCCGTAAACTGAATAAGGGGTATGAATTGATTTAACGTTTCCTTTAATGCCTCAAAATTCTCTTGATCCCATTTTGCTATATCATTCTTTATCACCAATTGGGGAGTCCGTTCAATGCTCCACTTGATTAAACAATCCCAAGCATCAATTTCTCTAATACATAGATCATCTCTTTTAAGCAAATTTAAAAAGGTGTCTTTATCTAACAATAAAAAAATTTTCGAGGTGATAAATTCTTTTGGGTCCTCTGATATTAAATCAAGACAATGATCTTGCAGTTTTTTGCATCTAGAAATTTTAAATACAGTGTTGGCTTGGTATCTGTAAACTTAAACGATTAACTTTTAATTCAATCTGTCGAATTAAATACAAGACAATATCACAATCACGCCTATATGAAGACACGACAAAAGGCAATAGTAAATG